CGTAATTTTTCGACCTGTTGGGTTGACAGGAACTGGGGAGGAAACAGGAGCTCACCCTGTTTAACGCGAAGGCTGGACTCGAACCGTGTGCCTTCCACCTGGTTAACTAGTGCACAGACTCATATTTCTGTTTTTTCTCTTTTTCTCCAGCTGTTGGATTACCAAAAAAGAGATCAACAATTTCCTGAATTTGGGCTATTTAAGCTTGGTGCTGTTCTTCAACAGCATCATGCTGGCCACAATGGTGTATGAGATTCTCAAGCTGAGACATCGAGAGCATCACTGGGAATATGTGGTGATGCTTCTGGGGCTCAGCTGTGTCCTGGGCATCCCATGGGGACTGGCCTTCTTTGCGTTCGCTTCCGGGACGTTCAAGTTGGTGGCAGTCTACCTTTTCACCATCATCAACTCTCTTCAAGGTCAGTAATTAATGCTGCTCCCCTCAGTCTTGAGATGCTGCTTTATCATTTTTTTGTCCCCTGGATTTTCACATAACACAATATATGTGTGTTTGTGGGGGTGCAGTTTGCCTATGGCATCATCTTTTCAACTTGATCCGAGCTTCAGCTTGTGACAGTGAAGCAGACCCTAAGAGGATGGGAGGCAAAGCCCATGATTTGCTTGTAGATGTCTTAGACTGCCTTCCAGCATCTCCAGGTAGAACATAAATCCACGTCCAGCCAATGTCATGGACCTAACCAATCTACTGTAGTGGTAAAGGTGTTGGGGCTGGGACTCAAAGCCCAGATTCAAATTCCCATTGGGTGATTTTGGGGTAATGGCTGTCTTATCCCACAATATCCACAGGCTGGGTTTGCACAGCATGCTAGACTAAATAAAATGAGGTAAGGTGGTTTGAGGTGCAGTGTGGAAATCCAGCTATTGTCTTGGGATATTGTGTGATTTCTGTTATATAATAGTTTATTTCTTTGGCCCAAGCATGATAAGCGAACTTTTTTTGGGGGGGGTGCCTTCGAATCAGTCTTGACTCCTGGTGACTGTCTGGACAAGTCCCTGCAGTTTGTTTGTTTGTACACACACACACACACAGTATATGACTTTTTATTAAAGATTTTTAAAAAGGAAGATAAAAACTAATACAAACTAACATAAAGTAAGAAAAAGAAAAGAAAAAGAAAGAAATCAAAGAGAAAGCTAAAAGTGCAAGAAAGGGAAAAAAAGTAAAAACAAAATGGAAAAGAAAGAAAAAGATACGAAGAAGTGGCTTCCGATCTTCTTTACAGCAAGTTATAATAAGTACAAGTATAAATTTACCGCTTACTCTGTGGTTACAACATAATTAGTCCCTGCATGTTTTCTTAGCAAGGTTTTCAGAAGTGGTTTGTCTTCTTCTTCCCAGGGCTGAGCGGGAAGGATCGGCCCAAAGTCCCCCAGCCGGCTTTCATGCCCAAGGCGGGACTCGAACTCAGGGTCTCCTCGTTTCTAGTCTGGTGCCTTCACCACTACACCAAACTGGCTCTCACTTAAGCAAACAGCTGTTGTATTTTTTAACCAAGATTTAGGTTATTTTCTCCCTCTGTAATATGAGTTTTTAAAGCCAAGACTAGCTCAGTTTCGGCATATTGTTCAATTTTGGATTCTAAGTTTTGAACATCAGCTGCTTTATGAACTTAACATTGTGCCTGGGCTTTGTAATTTCTGCATCAGTGATATATAGCATTTTCTAATCACCCAACCACTGTTGTGCCAAAGTAAAAATCATGTGAAAGGCTGATATCACTTCATTGGTGGTTGGAAAATGCTATGATTGAAACAGGGGCG